GGGGGAGGGGACGGGACCGGGGGGGGGAGGGGACAGAGCAGCTTCCTACTCCTGCTGCTGGAAGGTTCCGGATCCGTTCTAGGCTCGGCTCTAGGCTCGGCTCTAGAGGTTCTAGACTCGGTTCTAGACTCGGTTCTAGACCGGGTTCTAGACTCGGTTCTAGATCGGGTTCTAGAAGGTTCTAGACTCAGTTCTAGACTCGGTTCTAGAAGGTTCTGGACTCGGTTCTGGAGCGGGTTCTAGAAGGTTCTAGACTCGGTTCTAGATCGGGTTCTAGACTCGGTTCCAGACTCGGTTCTAGAGGTTCTAGACTTGGTTCTAGAGGTTCTAGACTCGGTTCTAGATCAGGTTCTAGAGGTTCTGGACTCAGTTCTAGACCCGGTTCTAGACTCGGTTCTAGAAGGTTCTAGACTCGGTTCTAGTTTTGGGTTCTAGACTCGGTTCTAGAAGGTTCTAGACTCGGTTCTAGTTTTGGGTTCTAGACTCGGTTCTAGAAGGTTCTAGAGCGGGTTCTCGACTCTGTTCTAGAAGGTTCTAGACTCAGTTCTCGATCAGGTTCTAGACTCGGTTCTAGCTCAGGTTCCAGCTCGGGTTCCAGAGCTGGTTCTGGGGTCCAGGAGAGCTCCAGGGTTCCAGGTGAGGTTCAGGTGAGGTTCAGGAGATGTTCCAGGTTCAGGAGATGTTCCGGGTCCCAGGTGAGGTTCAGGTGAGGTTCAGGAGATGTTCCAGGTTCCTGGAGATGTTCCAGGTCCCAGGTGAGGTTCGGGTGAAGTTCAGGAGATGTTCCAGGTTCCAGGTGAGGTTCAGGAGATGTTCCTGGAGATGTTCCAGGTCCCAGGTGAGGTTCAGGTCAGGTTCAGGAGATGTTCCAGGTTCCAGCCGAGGTTCAGGAGATGTTCCTGGAGATACAGGTGAGGTTCAGGTGAGGTTCAGGAGATGTTCCTGGAGATGTTCCAGGTTCCAGGTGAGGTTCAGGTGAAGTTCAGGAGATGTTCCAGGAGATGTTCCAGGTCCCAGCCGAGGTTCAGGAGATGTTCCTGGAGATACAGGTGAGGTTCAGGTGAGGTTCCAGGAGATGTTCCAGGTCCCAGCTGAGGTTCAGGTGAGGTTCAGGAGATGTTCCAGGTTTGGTTCCAGGTTCAGGAGATGTTCCAGGAGATGTTCCAGGTTCCAGGTTTGGTTCCTGGAGATGTTCCAGGTCCCAGCTGAGGTTCAGGTGAGGTTCAGGAGATGTTCCAGGTTTGGTTCCAGGTTCAGGTGAGGTTCAGGAGATGTTCCAGGTTCAGGAGATGTTCCAGGAGATGTTCCAGGTTCAGGTGAGGTTCAGGAGCTGTTCCAGGTTTGGTTCCAGGAGATGTTCCAGGTTCAGGAGATGTTCCAGGAGATGTTCCAGGTCCAGGAGATGTTCCAGGTTCAGGAGATGTTCCAGGTTCAGGAAATGTTCCAGGTTCAGGAGATGTTCCAGGTTTGGTTCCAGGAGATGTTCCAGGTCCAGGTTTGGTTCCAGGAGATGTTCCAGGAGATGTTCCAGGTCCAGGAGATGTTCCAGGTTCCTGGAGCTGTTCCAGGAGATGTTCCAGGTGTCTCTCTGTGTCTCCACAGGTGGTCAGGTGTCAGGTGACACCCGCGTGGTGGGTGGCCACGCCTGCGTGCCGCACTCCCAGCCCTGGCAGGTGGCCGTGCTGGACATGTACAAACTCTACTGCGGGGGGGTCCTGGTGGCACCGCGCTGGGTGGTGACCGCGGCGCACTGCACCACACCTGGGTAAGGACACCTGGGGACACACCTGGGACACCTGGGGACACCTGGAGATACACCTGGGACACCTGGAGACACGTGGGGACACCTGGAGATACACCTGGGACACCTGGGGACACCTGGAGATACACCTGGGGATACACCTGGGACACCTGGAGATACACCTGGGACACCTGGGGACACCTGGAGATACACCTGGGGATACACCTGGGACACCTGGAGATACACCTGGGACACCTGGGGACACCTGGAGATACACCTGGGGACACACCTGGACACACCTGGGGACACACAGGTCCCACCCCTGTCCCACCCCTCCCTCTGTTCCCTCAGGTGTCCCCCACGTGTCCCTCAGACGTCAATTAGATGTTCCTCAGGTGTTCTTCAAGTGTTCTCCATGTTCATTAGATGTTCCTCAGGTCCTTCAGGTGTCCCCCAGGTCCCTCAGGTGTCCCTTAGATGTTCCTCGGGTGTCCCTCAGGTCCTTCAGGTCCTTCAGGTCCTTCAGATGTTCCTCAGATGTTCCTCAGGTTCTTCAGATGTTCCTCAGATGTTCCTCAGGTCCTTCAGGTCCCTCAGGTGTCCCTCAGGTGTTCCTCAGGTCCTTCAGATGTCCCCTAGATGTTCCCCAGGTCCTTCAGGTGTTCCTCAGATGTCCCTCAGATGTCCCTCAGATGCCCCGGATGTTCCTCAGATGTCCCTCAGATGTCCCTCAGATGTTCCTCAGATGTTCCTCAGGTGTCCCTCAGATGTTCTTCAGGTCCTTCAGGTCCTTCAGGTGTCCCTTAGATGTCCCTCAGGTCCTTCAGATGTCCCTCAGATGTTCCTCAGATGTCCCTCAGATGTTCCTCAGATGTCTCTCAGGTCCTTCAGATGTCTCCCAGGTGTTCCTCAGGTGTTCCTCAGGTCCTCCAGCTCCCCCAGGTCCCTCAGATGTTCCTCAGGTGTCCCTTAGATGTTCCTCAGGTGTTCCCCAGCTCCTTCAGAGGTCCCCCAGGTGTCCCTCACCTGTCCCCACCCCTCCTCAGCGTCACCACGGTGGCCCTGGGCAAGCACCTCCTGTACGGGCGCGAGGCCGGCGACGAGCGGCGCATGGTGGCCCGCATGGTGGCCCACCCGGGCTACGACCCCACCACCAAGGACAACGACATCATGCTCCTCAAGCTTCTGACCCCGGCCACCATCTCGGAGCGTGTCCGGCCCATCCCGGTGGCCTCCTGCCTGCCCCGGGCCGGCACCTCCTGCCTGACGTCGGGATGGGGGGCCACCACCTCGCCTGAAGGTAGCGGAGGGGGCGGTGGGGAGGTCGGGTCTTCTGGTGGTCTTCTGGTGGTGGTTTCATGGTCAGTTGGGTCTTCTGGTGGTCA